AACGTGAGGAAGGGCAGAGGGGGGAGGCAGGAAATGAGATCAACAATTAGGAATCCATCCCTAAAAAAATAAGCACTTTCCCTCCCCTACACTAACTCTAACGCACTTGAGTTGAGCATGACAAGTCTGAAGACCTTGCAGACAATGTTGCCAACTGACGGAATAGCGTGATGTGGGTGGGACTTTTGCAGCGTTTTTTGAGATTCGAACCGCACTTGTGAACGGCTGGCACAGGGTAAGCGACCGGTTCATCTGTGTGGCATAGGTAGAAAGCGAGGGTGGTTTGACTTGCCCGTCACTGAGACGGAATTGACTTACTCCGCCTGGTCATCTTGACACTGGTTTGCTCTAAGGGCAAGACGGTTACGCGCAGAGAGGCGGTCAGTCAAAGCTTCAATGCACGTCGTCATTCGCAAAGGTTGAACTGCTGCGTGTGTGATAAATTCCAAGATTGTTCTCAAACTAAATCGTTCTTTGTACACTCTATATGAGCATCGATTACGTCTTTGTAAGTATGCGCAAGGGATTTTCCTTTGACGGTGGTTTTTGGCGGGGTCGATCGAGTGCTCCACAGGTTTGTGTGTAGATGGCGACCTGCATGGGGGAACTATCATAATCCCTTTCTCATATAGTCATTTTTCCGTTTAGTAAGTGTGTCGAACGAAAATAAGATGCATGAGCCAAAAGCATTTACCATCTAACACTAGTCGGTAACCAGTTTTCTGGAAGCAAGCGGGATTTCCGGCAGTGATTCTAAGGAGGTGAGGAGGCTATGAGCCTGTGCAAACACCGAATTAGGGGACGATGATGCATTTCTTTTCGCAATTCGTAGAAAAATAAAAGTCACTTCAGCTTCCCTCTCCTCCTCCTCTTCCTCCTCCTTCTCCTCCTCCATTACCTTCAGCAGCACGTTCGCCTCTTCTTTTTCCAATCTTACTTCCTCTACCGTTGGTGCTGTTTCTGCAATCGCCCCTTCCTCTACAGGCACCACCTCCGCCTTAGCCTGTTGGCAACAAGGACGAATGTGTAATATATCTACCTGTAATTCATTGAACCGTCAGGAAAATGTCTGCTTCTATTATTTAAGCAGCATTTTGAGTGAACATTTACCATTGGCAAGGAATAATGTCAAACATTTCTTGTGTTTTTAAAGCTGCCTTCAAACGAAATGCAAACGTTGTCACGCAATTCTGAGATATTTCTTGTTGGTTGTGTCAGTTAATGTCAGGAATTAACGATAGGGCGGTTCCGTAAAGCGTGAAGGTCATTGGGCTCTCGTGAGTGGTGTAAGCGGCTCTATAGAACGTGTAGTCTGCTTGTTGTCTCCATCTAACATGTAATGGGTTCCTAGTGGTCCCTTCCCGCTAGAATGCTGCGTCGCAGCATTGCTGACACTTCACATTTCTCAGAACGCCATGATTGAGTTTCTTTCAACTTAGGCATGCCTTTCGTATTCTTACTTTCATATCCATAAACCCCAAAAATTGATGTATGAAACGCGAACTTTGAAAAATGTGGCAACTTACCCCATCGTCCGGCGGGGCATATGTCATAACGGTTTCATTATTTCCTAAAAATGCAGAGGATATTAAAATATCGCATTTTGAATGCGCAAAATCAACAAAAATTTCATCGAAAAAGAAAAAATAAGTGTAAATAATCTCGTTGAGCAGACACTACGCAATCGGTGGTTCAGCGTGGAGTCCCAGGTCATTTCCAGTAGCTAGGGTGTCAGCCAATGGACTCACGAATTTGTATTTACTTGTAATCACCACGAGATAGGTACCAACATGAAAATTCCCAGCGTGCTTCCCTTAGAGTAGTTTTATATTCAAGACTAGGGTTGAGCAAACCTCCTCTAATAATTGGAGCGTGGTAGAAAATGCGGAATCCCCCTGAGAGAACTTTAAGGATGACTCGATAAGAAAATATAGTCAGAGCGGCATATTTTGCCTTAACCATTAAATGAACCGTCTAGATATGTCGGCTCTAAGTTCGCCACTACATAATCATGACATAAATTCCGTCGGAACTCTCATGGTATGGAATTTCAAAGAAATGGGCCTGAATCGCTATTCAGCGCTCGTGCAGATTAATGCTTGCACACTTTGGTGATTATGTTACGCTCTGTTGGCAGCTGGTCATAGTTAACTAGCGGCATTTCTCCTCTCCCGAACACCAGACTCACTCGTTTGATACATTTAAGAGTCCAGTAATCGTCAGTTTGACCGTCGATGCTAACCCCTTCCAGACCGGGCCCCACAGTATCGGGATTGCAGGGGGCGGTCAATTGTGCGTTATTTGTTTTAGTGCGATGTTAGACTTGCGCTGCATCCGTAGTGACTAGCTCCACACAAAGTGCGCTTGTGAACGCTTGTCGCGAAAAGCTCAAGTCGAAGTGCACTTTGGGAACGCTTGCTGTTTCGAGCCTCTGTAGCAGCCAATCACAGGCCGACGCACACACACCTTAAGGCTGTGTTTGCTGCTAGGCATCACCCCGGATTCCACCCCAGCAAG